GCGTGGAGGACTCTCGACTGGCGCAATCGTATGAACGTGAAGGAAGCCAAATAAATATTTAAAGGACTGTGGTTAATGGCGCTCTGTGGTTTCTGCCTGTAAAGTATTGCAGTATTCTTAATACAGTCCCTTTTTCAGTTTGTTCATGAAGATTGTGTGTTAACGCATAGACCAGTTAACAATAAGAGCATAAGAATCCAATATAAATATGTATTGTTTTGTGCTGTTTTGAGCGTGAATCATCCTTAAAATTATCTCCTTGAACCTTAAAGAAACAAAACAGAAACCAATAAAAAGGTTGTATGAACTGAATCGATGGCTAGATCCCTTGTCTCTGTTCAAATATTGACAATAAATATTATTACACAACACTGAAATATTCAGATTGTATGCGATATTTATTAAACAATATTCCTCCTCGAACTCTGTCAATATTAAACATAAACAATATATGGAGCAACAAAGATGAAGCAAGGATCATATTTCATAGCACAATTGTGTAATTATTTGTTCTATTTCTTCGGAAGTTGGCGGGAAAACGAATACTCCATCTTGGATGACGGAGCGAAACACGCGGGAGAACGGATTCATTTTAAAGAAACCCATTTATTTCCAGTTTGTTTTAGTAATGGACGAGATATAACGTGGAGTTTTCATTTTATTTAGGTGGTACCGCAGAAAAACGTAGTGTTGGTGATATTTATTTTACTAGATTCGTCTTTATAAGGGGTTCTTTAATTCTATGTACACACTAGGAGTTTTCATTCCATCTATCTTTTGTTATTTGAGTAAATACTGCTAAAAGTTCTTAAAAAAATTCAAAAGTTCTGTGGAAATGTCTCAACGTACAAAATGAAAGTAGACAGTCACACTATCTTGTAATTCGCATAAAACTATTACCATGAGAACCATAAATTCTAATTTAACGCCTTATTAAGGGTAATCGCCACACGTGAAGCGTCGAACAATAATTTAAATTGTTATTACGAGTGTAATGGCGGTAATAATGTCATTATTGTCAACACAAGTCGGCAGTACATTAGAAAATTCGCGCGGGAAAAACGGCGGCCATTGCCTACGGTTAGAAAAAGTTAGCGAGGCCTACGTACGCATTGTTCAGCCTATTCTAAGAAAATCTTACAATGTAAGTACGAATATGTTTTGTGTGCAGGGAGATCTGACGGTTAATTATAGGTTTGACTTTGTTGACAGCATTGTATTTGGTAGGAAGGTAATGTAAGTAGGTATTGTCAGTTTACAAACATCTTTACCATTCGTGACCAAACGAAAGGTAAGAAAGGGATAGTAAATTATTTAATGGAACTGTTCATGAACTAAATCCTCATATTTCTTGACCTTCAACGTTTCGTAACACATTAACCTACGTTTTAAAACGATTAAACTGTGAGAACAAAACATAAGGTTTTATATCTTCATTCATAACCTAGTCTTTAATTTCCACCTTGACAAATAGTAATTGACCTCTTAAAGCATAGATAAAAATCATTAATAAAGCTCTTTGTTTAAAAATGACTGCCCTCTTTCCCTTGAATTTGTCCCAAATTCTAAATTTAAATCTGAATTAGTATCTGTGGTGGAGTTATTCTCTTGAGGCTCAACAAGTCACAATAATGTAGTGTTTGGAAGAGTATCTTTTTACCTTTAAGCACCGAGTTTGAAATTTGATCTCCAGTATGCACAAAACTATACCAAGTTTTGTTCAGTTCCACTACTCCACCATCACGCCTTAAGGAATACAATTATCAATGGGGCCTACCGTATGTTTACTCACTAGATGGCACTTGTTTTTCGTCCAATAGGGAATAAGCTAACACACACCATTAGATGTTCAATATTTAACAGCTGCTATGATTGAACAATAAGACCTCTTCCGACATTTGCACCATCAAGTGAGCAAAAAGACGTAGTCCCAATTGTAACACCCACTTTCCACCACTTATGTTAAAGTCCCATGTAGGTATGTAACACACAAGGTAACCCTAACATGCAATAAGGGGAAAAGAAAAGCAAGAATAATCTTCTGTTACATAAACTCCTTTAAAAAGATAAACATCATCGGTGCAAAATGTCCGCATTCAACATAAAGATTCCCACGAAATTACTTTTAATAGTTGACATATTATAAATTTTCATAATTGGAGCGTCGCGTCGCTTGCCCAAGATGTGGATCGCGATCTGGCAATAGACTCGTCCAATTATCTTGCATTCTGGGCCGGTTACGCTAAATGCAGTCACGATATGCAATCTTACTGTTTGCTTTTGGGGAAAATTTTAACAAAATATATTGTCACTTCATTGTTAAGAAATGATAAGATGAAACCGGGTTCCTAGTTTGAAAGTATGTGGAAAATTTAGTTTTCACGGTCATAACTCTAAAAAGGAAAAGGCACCCATACTTTGATACCTGATGCGTCCCGATAACATCAATCAATACTTTGTTCATTTTCACATTTGTTACTAGAAATATATAGATACAAATCTAAAACTTCAGTTGCCATAACCACGGAAGACTTAATGGGTTGCGGGAGTTGTGCTTCAAAGCATGATTAAAAACTGAGTGGGTTTTAGTCACTAAGAGTCTGGCACTCCCTCTCGCCTCATTTAAGACGGAAGGAATTATTGGATGACTTCCCCCCTTAAAAAAACCCTCGGTTGAAGCTGTAGTTGGTAACAATCAAGCATGGAGACCATAAAGCAAAATGAATAAATAACTATACAGCAAAACGGAAAGTATTATGAACAAACTATTGTGGAACAAAAAATATAACCAATACTTCCCTATCTCAAAACCAAATACATGAAATTTTTCGACTTAGGTAACCAATCCCATTATCCTATTCACTAAGATAAATAGATAGGCCGCAAACAGCTTCCCACGAAATATAATGAAAGTGTGCTAAGATGATTGCAAACAGTTGATGAAACTAATATGCCACGTGTCAATCAAAATGTGACACAGAAATTGGAATAACACGTTTGCGAAAATAACTTCTAAGCCGTCTGACATATACAACATAGACTAAGTATTCTGATATTCAAGATTAGTTAATTTTACTTTGTTTAAAGTTCAAGTTATATTTATGTAAATACTAGCATATAACTAAATGTGCAGTCTAGCTTATTAGGCATAAATATAAATTGTACGACATGTTGTGAGGCCGAGGAAATGGACAGATTTTTTCAGTTGTAAGAAAGAAAGAAAGATTGTTTATTGCGTATACATAAATCGAGTAATCAGACATGCAAGATGTTAAATAACAATGCGAATCTAGCCTAAAAATAATAAAACTAAATCCAACTTAATCTTTATATAGGTGCATTATTGATCAGAATTGAATTTTAGGAAGTAAATGTTTACAATCCCTTTTTACAGTAAAATCAACCCTACATTCACGTCACTGAGTTCAAAAGTTAAAAGCTACAAACAATGTTAAGATCATTAAAAGTTGATAGTACAATAACAATGCGATCGGTAATATATAAGACAGCCATTATCGACATTACGAGCCACAATACAATGCAAACAGCAGTACAATTGCACGATGCACTGAAATAGTTGCACAATACTAAATTACTGATCCCATCTTACTGGATAATGTCTGCTTATTGCGAAGTTTTAATTGCAAATGTAATGAGCATGTTGTTAGCTGAAAACAGATTCGATTTCGTTTTATTTGATTTGAATTTTAATTTTAGGATTAATTTTACTTTTAGTAAAAAAACTATGTTCAACCGCAAAGCGCAACACATCCATCATGAAACCAACTCATATTCAGACTAAAAAAAGTCTAATTATCTCTTTAATTACACAAAACACAAAGAACAGAAGAAATCCGTAATTTTTTTAATGTAATATTCATAATGTTACATGTTGTACCAACTTAACACGTCTTCAAGAATGTAACCGTGACGATGTTATGTAAAAAAATAATAAAATTTTACATAAAATGATGGCATATGACCAAAACTCATTATTTATCTGTGGACTCTACGCTCTAGTTACTAACACATCTATTAAACTATGATGAGTTTTTTAAGAAACTTGTAAAATATTGTTATACTTGTTGTCGACATTTTTAATGATGTATGTATATTTGTAAAGATTTTGCGTTAATAGAATTGTGTAGGTGTTTAAGACGAGATTTATTAATCGGTTATTATGGAAATACTATTCCTCGGACTAGACTAATTGTAAAAACTTATTTATTTATTTAATCTACAATGTACACAATACGACAAAATAGTAGTACTTATGGATGTAAACAACTCACTAAAAATACTGAAACAATTTTTATACAAGTACCTCCAAACTAAAAAATTAGATCAACGAAAACCAATCAGTGAATAAAACGCTTCACTTTTCCAATTACACAAAGCGACCTACATAACGACATTTTCGAAAAAAAAGGAAAAACAAAACAATAATTAAATACACGCACATAACATTCGCACGATGGCCCGCATTCCTCCGTTGTAACAGAAATGCCGTATCTTTTATTAAAAAGACAGAAAATAATAATTACCGAATTTCATAAATGCTTGTTTTAATCTGTCAACCTCACAATTCCTTATGGAAACAATAGAATAATTTAACAAATTGTTATTTTGTCGCAGTACTTGATACCGGTTTTCTCCAAACATCGTGATTTGCGGTGTTATAAAATTATAGCTGTGTACAAATTTCACTTGTGTATTATCTGATGTCTTATTACGTTTTGTGGTGATACGGCAGCCGCAAAAGAATACGCGTCGAACACAGCCGGTTACAAATTGGCGGAAAATTGTCGTGCGTATTTTTTTCTACCGCACCGACTAATGGCCATCAAGAATTTTCATGCTTTGTTTAATGTGCAAATCAGGAAGATATTGCCACTTGCGTGTTATCATTTTGCTTTTCAAATAAGCGATATCTCAAATATCGACAAAAACGTCTAAATTTTTTATACACAACAAAACATTTAATGTAAAAAAAGACTTACCGAGAAAAACGAAAATCTTCATTGTAGAGTTTATACAGCTTGCAACACTGACACAAGTTTAAAAGTAACAGAAATTAGTTCGAAGTTCGAATGTATTTGAACAGCGGCGTTCGTCGTGGTCCGTCGCCGAGCCGCGTGTGTTAGATGCGCGCACGCAGCGGCTGTCCGTAGCGCCTTCACTTTCTATGTGGTGGGGCTCAGGAGCACCGGGAAACCAAGGGTTTGTTGACATTACTACTATTGCATACGCACGAACACATAATCCGACGATTTAATTAGTGCGACGATTGATACTCCTACATATTTATATTTTATTTTTGCATACGTGTTATTTTTATTGTAATCATTCTATAGGTCCATGCAAGCAAAGAATTCTTCAAATTATTATTCGTTTAAGCATCTTAATTTTCTAAACGTTACACAATAATAGCACAAGACATAAAGTGAAAACCTACCTGTCCATAACATGTGGCTGATATCAGTAACATCAACACTCATTTTGTATGGAGCTTAAATCAAAATTTTATCTATAACAACGATGTCTACCGACAGATTAATTATCGTGACTGACCGTTGAAATCAGACAACAAGACATCGAATTCTTAATATCTAAGTGTCATAGTCAACAATGCCTAATTATAATTTTGTGACTAGTCGCTGGCTATCAATGACACAATAGTCACATTGAATTTTTGGAAACTTACATCACCATTTCAAATCAATTTTTGAATGCTATTTTGGATATATTTTTGAATGCCATTTTATAAATGAGTTTATTCACTTTCTAGACCATATAGTTAGATAATAATTTAACTTATACTTACAAATTGACCTAAAAGCATTTAAATAATGTAAGTGATTTATTGTCGCGCTTGCGACCACGCAAACCAATCTACCAGTGGAGGCAGTGGACATTTTTGTAGGCAGATAGCACGAAGTCTCAATGATGGCTGCTTTTTTTGTCCTCACTAGTATCAAAGTTGCGTTGAGATTCGTCTGACTAATAGACTAATTTTTTTTTATAACCTGGCAAAGGAGCACATTGGTCACCTGATGGTAGGCAATCGGCGTAGCCCATGGACACCTGAAACACCAGAAGCGTTACAAGTATGTGACCTGCCTTTTAGGGATTAGTGATTTGAGGATGGTTGGGAATTGGGGAGATTAAAAAGGGGCACAATGGTGCCTACCGGAGGCACCTCACTCACTCGACGAAACACAACGCAAGCTGTTTCACGTCGGTTTTCTGTTTGACCGTGGTGTCACTCCGGTCGAGCCTGCCCATTCGTGCTGAAGTATGACTCTCCAACACTTATGGGATAGGCCAGAAAACGGGCGAACGGATCATCCGATGGCAAGGAATCAGTCCCGTACACGGACACCCTGCAACACCAGAAGAAATGCAAGTGCGTTGGCGGCCTTTTGAATTTATGAATAGGAAATTTGAGGGTTGAGAACATTGGGACTGCTGTTTGACCAAACACTGAGATTCGTACAACCAGACCAGGTGTCAATAATAGATATTATAGACATTAACCTTTAGACTAAGGTTCCACTTGTCACACCGCTAGTCCTCATTAAATGATTCTGGTCAATAAAGTTTCATCATTAACAGCTTATAAAAGCCCACTGCTGAGCAAAGCCTCTTTTCACACGGAGAAGGATTGAGCAATAATCACTACGCCTTCTCAATGCGGATTGGGTCAATAAAGTATAGATCCTGTCTAAATAAGCATAAAACTGATATAGTATATTAATATCCTTATTGCAATACGTTACAATAATTTTATGATTTCCTTCAACGTGGCATGCTTGAAATGTAATGAAATGTAATTAGATAACCAAGTTAACGAGGAAGGAAGGTATGAACGGAAACACACCAGTAGCTTGTCTTCTCTATAAATTTCGTGTCATACACACATTTTCTTACCTTACGTATTAAGTAATTAATTTAAGTTTGACATGAAATAACTTAATTAAAACCAAGTTTGTTAACTTTCTTACAAGGCAGACTTCTTGTTATTTTGGTCTCATAATCAGTGACTTTATGAGATGGGTCAAAACGCAGGCAAAATATGTAACTACTTATTACTATATCACCCTGTCTTATGTCGTTTCCGTCCCGTGGTAAAACAACATAATATAACCTCACGCCTTTTATCCCCGAAGGGGTAGGCACTATACAATGTAACACCCACTTTACACCATTTATGTTATGAGTCCCATGTAATAGGGGGTGAGCCTATTGCCATATACCGGGCACAATTCCAGACTCCGTGCTACTACTGATATTTTTTTTAAAACCCAGCAATCCCCCCCTTGCCCGGCAATCGCACTTGTGATCACTCGGCCAACGAGGCAGTCCCGTGGCAAAACAACTTGCCATAAATAGTACTTTAATGCATAAAGTAAAAACTAAAAATAAAGACGTCGGTTTTTTTAGTTTAAAACAAATATTCATCCAATTATGCATGACAGAATAGATGTAACATTGTAGGCACTATTCGCATCGCATGTGCCAAGGCGTGATGTTTTCCTAAAGTAGGTAAGTACTATAGTTCGTAGGGGTTTTCGAAGTTTGCTTTTTACAATGGTTCATCAATATAATTTTTTCTAATAAACATTTTGTTTCTTTGTGAAACTGTTGTATTACCGAGACGAAACCGGTTTATTAGGTGACACCTACTGAATAATGGCTGCAGAGTATATTTTCCTTTTATGTTCCTTATCAATCAACAATAATTTCAAGCAAATCTGAACAAGAATTATCAACCTACAAATACAACTTCAGTAACAAAGACTTATAAGTATCTAACCACCTTCTCCTCAACCCTAGCATCGAACCAGATACTTTAGTCATTAAACAACAACTAGAACAACACGACAGTCATTAAAAGGTACCAGGAACACATAAGATTACGTCGGTGTCCGTTGATTTGTAACACTCGATTACATCTTCATTCTTTCATACCATCAGTACTTAGCTTACGTGATGTGATGTCACGGAACTTCGCTATTATTTTATTTATCAACCGTATGTTTGTTAGTCAGTTGTTGGTACATATCTCTAATTGGTTCATATTTGGTACCCCAAATAGGATATACCATCCTTCTAATATTATTTTATATGCGAAAGTTTGTCTGTTTGTTTCTTTGTTTGTTACTCCTTCAGGTCTAAACGGCTGAAGGGATCGAGATGAAATTTGGAATAGGGGTATAAGCCACGGAAAACGCGGACGAAGCCGCCGGGAGAAGCTAGTTGATAAAAACATGGTTTACTATAAAATATTAGTGTCTATTATTTCTGCGTTATCTGTCTGCTCGTTTGCGACCCTATGCAATAAAAAATTAGGCAGTTTGAGCATGCCAAATTTACCACAACCGCAATGACTAAACCATTATAATAATCGTCCTAATTTTCAATTGTAATCCCCCAATCTAGGTTCAAAACAAGCGGTATTTATAAACCCTCACAATAGCGTGAAATCAGTTTCGGTACCCCTGTTTTGAATGAACCAAAACAATAAAAAATTGAATATACAAAAATTTCCTTTCCAAAAATATAGCCCTTTTAAAAAAAAGAAAGAAAAAAATTAATTTCACACACTAAAAAACAAGTGAGTGACATATACAAATGTTTAATTCTATTAGTAGGTACTGATGGATACATGTTCATTCGCCTAACCCAAGGCGGGAGAAGCCATTAGATGATTTTCACCCCTCAAAAAAAAAGTCTGTCGTAAAATAGGACCAGTTCAGCATGTTTAAGACAAGGCATTGCACTGGTATTCTACTGGTCCCTTAAGTGACTCGCGGACGAACAAGCCACCAAGATAATAGACACAAATATTAAAATGATCATATTCTTTATGATTATTTGTTGATGTCATGAGCTCACATTATGGACCTCCTCTACAAAAGATATGTTTATCATAATTACCAAACTGACCGCAGTTTACAAGAACCAGGTTTATCAGAAAACCCGAAGAAAGAGAAGATGTGCGGACAATTATACTAGCTTTTACCCGCGGCTTCGCTCGCGTCACAAAAGAATAAAAAGTATCCTATGTGACATATACCAATACACACAGCGCCATCTATACCAATACTTTTGTTTTTCCTCGGAAATATCAATTTTTTCCGGGTTAAAAAGTACCATATTATTTAATCCGGACTTCTACCTTTACGTCTGCAAAAATTCAAAGCAATCGGTTGAGTAGTTACGGCGTGAAGGTGGAACAAACAAACAAACAAACTCACTTTCAGATTTATAATATTAGTAAGGATTCTACTGCCAGCATACAGTTACTGTATATTTGTATTATCTAATGGAAGGATTAATATAGAATCCTTCAAATAAATTAGACTTTCTCATTGGCCGAGTGGTCGCAAGTGCAACTGCTGGGCAAGGTGTCTCGGGTTGGATTCCCGGGTCGGGCAAAGCAGTAGTGGAGGTTAAAAAAAAATCTCAGTAGTAGCACGGAGTCTGGAATTGTGCCTGGTATATGGCAATAGGCATTACATGAGACTCATAACATAAATAGTGAAAAGTGGGTGTTACATTGTACAGTGGCATTGATTGCCGTAATGTGCACCTCTGCCTACCCCTTCGGGGATAAAAGGCGTGATGCTATGTTATAAATTAGACAATATATCAGATTTCCAATGCCTCTAATGAAATACTGTTCGCTTACCATGCATTATACAGACGTCACCTGTAGTCAGTTCAACGTCGTCTATATCTGACAGGTTAATTACTACGTTGTATTATATTAAGCTCATTAGTCTGCACACTGTTTACGTGAGTCAGATTACCTATATGTATGTATTTAGTTATATATACGTCAATATACAACCGTATATTAAGGCTTAAATAGCCTACAAAACCTGTTAAAGGCTAATCCTCCGCTAGCGTTGGCCATCATTGTCCGACGCAGCGTCCAATGTGTTAAGAGAAATCAAAGGCAAAGACAACCCTGGGCTATACAGATACAGGTGGCAAATGGAACGGTCCAAAAAAATCCGACAGTCGATGATAAAAAGCATATTTTGTTCTCATAAGGTAAAAGGAAGGAATTAAATATTTATTTTATGTAATAATAATTGTAATCAACTGATCAAGTCTGATTTT